GCATGATTGGTAACGTAACTTTCCCTTCTTATTCGATCTCACAAACTCATATATTGTAGAGGAAATTATCGATATTATCGACTCTCGACCCATAGAAACAGCATGCCAAACTGAGTTATCGAAGCCTGTCGGACCTTCTGCTCAAGCTGCAATTGAGAGGGTATCCATCTTGATTCCTCTTCCAGTCTTAAACACCCCCAATCAACCGACCCAACAAGGGAGACCGACAACCGAAGGGAGCCTCACAAGTCGCTAGTCCATCGTATGGACGAGAACGTGGATTCCTTAACTCGGGCTACAAACAATCAGCAGGAGGCCACTGTATCGGAGTTGTGAGAGGAACTGGCGGTCGTATATGCAAACATGGAGGCTCCTCGGGCCCAAGTCATGGATGTGGAGATCCTCCGGGCCTAGCTTGGAAACATGAAGATCTTTGGGCCAAGGTTGCAAATGTGGACAATCTCCGAGACAAGATTGCGAATGTGGAAGATCTCTTAGTCGGGTGGCGATCCTAAGGGGTGAACTAGCTGAATTTTGAGCCACTAATTCGATCTCCCAAGTCTGAATTGAAGAGAAGATAGAGAAGTATAAGTTCAGTGGGTGTGGGTTGTATATGAGTCAAATGAATGGAGGTCTAGTCCTGCCCGAAGCGACGAATGACTCGGCTATAAAATATTTCTTTTTGTAAAAAACATTTCTTAATCTTTACCACAATTTAGTCATCATTGTTTTTCTTAATTTCTGTGTCGAAGTGACATCTTGGCGAAACTCGATGTAGCCCTTCAACATCCTTATGGGGCCTATGTATATAACGGGTGGTTCTTTTCGAATTTCCTCTAAAAGATCAAGGGTGACTGAAGCTTCATCATTTGTATTTTGTCAATCAACGAGCTCCCCTTCGTCGAAAGATGTAGCGGTGATTACCCTTTTGACTATGGTGATTCTACTCGACCAATAGCATGGCTTTCATACCGTGGGAAAGCATGTATGGCGTTTGTTCGGACATCAATATGGTTCATATGGCCCAAAGGACCAAAGGAACCATATCCGTCCATTTACCCTTAGCACCCCTCAACTTTTTTTCTCAGCAAGTTTAGGATGAGCATGTTCGCAGCTTTGACTTGGCCATTAATTTACAAGTGATGTACAGATAAAACTTTAGTTTAATCCCCTGACTCTAATAAAAATCTCTTAACACCAGATTAGCAAACAAAATTTCATTATTTGTGACGAGTATTAGGGGCAAGTCATACCGGCAAATTATGTGTCCAGGTAAATTCCAAATTGCACCAACAATGATCCAGGCTAGAGCTTTTGTCTCTATCTATTTAGAAAAGTAATCCACATTGACCAAAATAAATTTTTGGTATCCCTTTGAGGGAGAAAATGGCAAGAGAATATCCATTCCCCAAATGGTGAAATGCTAAGGACTAACTATTGGTTGTAATTTCTGTGTTGGCTGATGCTGCAGTGGAGCATAGTTCTGACATTGCTGCACCTTCGAGAGAGCTGCTCTGCATCTTTTAAACCTTGTCTTTGGACTCGATGAGCCAGTTTTTTCCCCTGAATAGCTTTCGCACTCACCAGAATGCATTTTCCGGAGGAAGTAATTTTGTTTGGAACATCTAAAGAGCAAGGATGTGATTGACTTTTGGAATTGCATGTCTCCAATAAGAAGGTATTGGGTGATTTTAAACTTGAAACTTCGGGGATCTGCCACTGCTTCATGGATTTTCCTAATTTTGAAGTAGTGGATATAAGGATCGACTCAACTTTTGGCATCAGTCATTTCAACCTCTACTACTTTCGACTCTTCAATGGTTAGTTGGGAAAGCTTTTGGGCCGCTCTATTTCCAACGCATATGTTTTTCAATAACCGTGTTCTCCTCTCGCCCTATGTGTACAATACGGGAGCTTATGAACTTACCAATTTCCATCTTCACTTTATTCAAGTACTTGACCATCATCTTGTCTCGAGCTTCAAATTCCCCATTGATTTGGTTGACAACTAGTTGTGAAACAGATTTCACTATTACATGTCAAGAGCCCATTGCCTAAGCTAACCGTAGTTCGGCTATCAATGCTTTGTATTCTGTCTGATTGTTTGTGGCCACAGAATCAAGGACGACCAAATAATAGACGTGTTCTTCAGTCGAACTGCTTAATGTCAGACCAATTATTGCTCTTGTTTGACTTGAAGCTCTGTCAACATAAACGATCCAAGTTTGCGTGTTTGCCTTGGATCTGTCCTTGCATCCATCTGATTCCAAGAGATCAATCAAGAAGTTCACTATAGCTTGAGCTTCGATCAACATTCGTGGGACGTAAGTAAGGTCATACTCATTGAGCTTCATGGACCATTTCAATAATCGGCCCGAATGTTTCGGTCGAGTGAGTATGGCCTTGAGTGGATGATAAGTGACCACATTAACCGAATGGGTTTAAAAATATGGTCGAAGTCTACAAGTAGAAACAATCAGATCAAACGTTAGTTTTTCCATAAGGGAATACCTTATCTTGGCTCCTCTAAGGACCCAGCTAGTGTAATAAACAGGAATTTGTTTCCTTGACTCCTCTTGGACTAGGACCAAACTAATAGCTTATGGGTCGATTCCCATGTAAAGTGAAAGTTTTTCCTTTAGCCTCGAACTTCGCAACAACGGTGGAGAGATTAACAATTGTTTCAGATTCGGAAAAGTTTGCTCACATTTGTTCATCCATTCAAACTTTTTTGCCCTCCTTAGCACCTTGAAAAAGGCGGCACATTTGTCTCCTGACTTGGAAATAAATCGGCTTAGGGCTGCAATTCGGTCGGTCAACTTTTGTACTTCTTTGGTGTTCCGAGGAAAAGACATGTCGAGAAGTGCCTTCACCTTTTCGGGATTAAACTTAATCCCATCGGGCATCAGGAGGTAACCCAAGAATTTCCCTTTGGAAGCTTCAAAAGTGCATTTCAACGAGTTCAATTTCATGTTCCTAAGTGTTTGGAAAGTTTATTTTAAATCGTACAAATATTGTTTGGTTGTCTTACTTTTTACTAACATATCATCCACATAGACTTCAATATTTCTTCTTTTTGTTTAGAAAATATTATATTAGCGCTGATAAGTTGCGCTTGTATTTTAGCCCAAAAGGTATTATAGTAAGCAATATAAACCATCACTGGCAATAAAAGTCGTATTCTCCGCATCAGCTAAATGCATTTTAATATGGTGATAACCAGAGAAAGCATCAATGAAGCTCATTACCGAGTATCCTACCGTAGAGTCCATCAGAGTGTCGATCCTGTGTAGTGGATAGCCGTCCTTTGGGCAAGCAGCATTCAAATTTGTGAAGTCCAGCGCACTCTCCACTTACCGTTAAACTTTTGTACCATAACCACGTTGGATACCTAAAAGGGATACCAAACCTTCCAAATGTAGCCGACCTCTAAGAGTTTCCTTACTTCCTCGTGAATTGGTTTGGCTAAAGTCATTGTTATCGTCTGGAATTTTTGTTACGGGTCGGGCGGTTAAACTGATGTTGACCCT